AACTAGATATCCCTCAACAAGTGACATGGCGAATATCCGCCTCAATCCTCCCAGATACCGCGCCGAAAACTCCACGTGCACTGGATGTACACCAACTGATCCCTGAACGCGATTCGCAAAAGCGTTTCACTGTGGAGGGTTTTCCGCCGTGTGTACTGTGGTCGCTATCCAGTCGGCACAAAGCCTACCACAACGCTAAGCAGATGGACACTTGTGACGCCCTCGGTCGCCTCTTACGACCCCCACGGGCATGTATGGGGAGGCGACAATGTATTCTTAAGCCGTCGCCCCACGGCAAAAAATCTTACTCGGATGAGAAGGATTTTACAACAAGAAGTTATATTAAAATATTTGTTACGTGTTAAATATTCGTTTGTGAACGGTAAAATGTGTGTTGTAATAATATTTTCTCATTATTGTGCCGTCTTTCTCATTTATGTTTATGAGAAATCATGCGTGTTACTCCTTCGTGTGACCTAAAATATCGTTTTTTGTTGTATTTAACTTAAATATCTCTGTGATTTTATAATTATTGACATTGCTTGAACTTATTTGTACGTTTAAGACCTTAAAACCAAAAGAAAAAATGGTTTTACAAAAATCACTCAAAAAGTGCCATTGAAATTTCAAAAGTGAAATTCACCCCTTGACCCTTTGCCAATTGCCATTAGAGGTGTGGCTCTAGAAAAAAATCCTGGTTTTTTGGGTAAACTCTGGGTTAATTTATTTTGTCTTGTTAATGAGCAGTGTGTAATTTTTTGTGATAGGTGTTAAGGTAGCGTTTTCATTATATTTTTTTAATCATTTGACTGTTCTGTTAATTTTACAGGACATTAGGTGGGATCATAGAGAAGTGGGTATTGTGTTGATTTCAACTCTAATACCCCTAGCCGTTGTTGAGTAAGGGCGCGTTCCCACTATGTCGTCACGTTTTATTATCGTTGGACGACTGTCGTGTCTAGCCTGTTCCCATATCACGACTAACTGTCGTGGACGATTTCTTATCGTTGAACGATTGTCGTGACAAGCTGTTCCCACTAAATCATGACGACAATAGGAGCTGCGACAATCTGTCGTCACGTTTTTATCGTGACTTTTTTATCGTCTGACCACTGTCGTTCTAACTGTTCCCACTGTGACGACAGTTTGTCGTTGTAACAATAAAAAATCGTGAACGACAGTTAATCGTGTCGTGCTATATGTGAACAAATTCATTTAAATATACAAGTCACGACACTGTAAACTGCACGACAATCTGTCGTCACGACATAGTGGGAACGCGCCCTAAAAGGTAGTAGGATATCTTGAGTAAAAGGTTACTCTCTCAAACGGAAATTATAGTGATCATTTAAGTAGGTAGGTACACTTATATAATTTCACGACCGTAAAAAAATCCAAGCTGCATAGGGATATCTTATTTTCATTAAAAATTACTATCGTGAAACCGATTTACAAAAAACGAGCAAATAATGACCTCAATAATTACTGTCGCGTCAGGGGGTCTACTCTCGATCTC